GAAATATGGCGATTCCCCTATTGTGGTGTTGAAAGCCACACTTGATGACGTGGGCAATACAAACATGCCCAAGAAGAGCATGAGGAACTGGGAATAAATCCAGTATCCGAGGGAGAATGGCATCCCGAGTGGTATAGTCTAGATTACGACCGAATAAGGACATAGGAACAATGGAAATGAGCCATAATGGAACTTACGAATTAATCGAATTAGTCTCGTCTTTTCATCGACTGAGACCAGACCACAGCAAACCGAGAGGAGGAGAGCCTCTGGTACCATTCGCTTCGGTTCAAAGGCATATGTTTCCGGGCTCGTGGCAACAGCACGTCGCAGCGTGTCGATTGTCATTTCACCATTGGCATGGGTGATCCAGAGGAGGACGAGCTTGGCGAGGTTCGATTGTTTGAGACCTTGGGCAAGGATTCGCTCCCAGGTCTTTGCGTAGATCTCCTTGATATCGGAGGGGAATCCTTGCAAGGTTTCTTCTATGTCGAGAGCACTAACACAGTTGCGAAGCGCTTCCAGTTGGAGTTTCGCATGGAGGAACCTGTAGGTGACCGTTACGAAAGAGTCCATGAAGATGCAACGAGACCTTACATTCCACCCGACTTTCGATGAATCGTCTCGGCGATTTGTTCTTCGAGATCGGTACCCTCGAGCAATGTCATGACTTCTGGACTATGTCGCAGAAAGTGCTTGATATGCAAGTCGAGGTCGGATGGACTCGCAGCGATGCTGAACACTCGAGCGCCGGGGAATTGCTTCTGGAGCGGTTCCAGTGGTCGGGAAGTGATGAAGAGTTTTGCGTCTAACGATGCGAGAAGGTTGAGCAGGATAGGTCGATCCTCGGCCCACATCTCGTCAAATGCATCCAAGACAAAGAACAGCGACTTCCCACATTGAACGAACCCCTGCAGTACTTCCAGGAGTTCTTGCTGACTGGGCTTGGTCTTTTCTTTCTCGTGCCTTGCATAGAGAACTTCAATGGTCGGGATCAGGTCGTCATGGCGCTCAACGATTTGCTTGACCATCGATTCCAAGATGTCCCTGATGGCCAAGGGCTCGCTGTAACGCAGGTAGACGTAGGCGACGCAGATGACGCCTCCCGATGTGTTCTCCAGCCCCTCGAGGTAGCGGATAACGATGGATCTGTCGGATATTAGTGTAAAGATGAGTATCGATTAGACTTGTACTCACGCAAGGACAGTCTTCCCAGCTCCGGCTAGATAGAAGTCAGGATATAACTTTCGAGGCAAAGCATACTGCGACTTACGGATACCAATACCCCACAATATCCTCCCAGCCTTTACCCAAAAGACAAACATCTCTCCTCTCGTGAGCCAGATGCAGGTCCCATCGGTGGCTTTGGCAAGGGTGTCCAGCTGGATGTCTCGAAATTTAGGGAGGGATCGCGAGTTCAGGATGGCCAAGACGTCAACAGAAGCCGTCGGAGGTCCATAGTTGTGGGTATGGTGATGAACAACGTCGCGCCCAGCCACATGGAATGTACCGCCATGAATGTGAGCGCTCTCGACGCCAGATATCACAGCCGATCCTGAGGCGGTTGGCGAGCACTCCGAGGGCGGCCCAGCGAGCTCAACTTCCCATCTGGCTCTCTTGGTTGTTGAGTCCTGGTCCCAAGAGACGCTACCCTTTCGCTTGGGATTACGATTCATGAAAACTCCGGTGAAGCGTCCGGATGTGAGGGGGGAGGACAAGCTAACAACGAGGCGGTCCTGCGCACAGGCAGTAGGCAGCGCTGTAGAGACTCCCAGGGTCTCGTGATTGGATTTAGGCGCTGAGCAGGTTGCACAGCAAGATTTAAGCGCCCAACCCTGAAAACCACTCCCATCCCCAGATATCACCAAGGGTGCGCCAAATTACTTACGAGTAAATATTATGCTGCTCGCAGCTCCGTTTTAGAGATAGAATGACTCACCGCATGGTCATCGACCATTGGTAATGCAATTATGAAGCTATGGCCACTGGCGGCGCGGGGAGGGTGGGCAGAGATTGACGCCCTGATGAGCGAAGAGAAGAGCGGAAGACAAAGTACAGGAGTTAATATTTACCGCTAAATTCCCTTTTCTCTCTAGAAGTCAACTTGCGAAGTTCTGAGATCTGGATTCGTGGTTTCGACGCTATCCCGACCCCTATGCCATGCAGGTGTTGTCAGCCTCTGAGCTCGAGTGGCTGCAGTCCGCTCCTTTAGTCCCTATTCGCTGTATATTTCTCATTCAATCTCATTTTACCGAGCTCCGAACCGCTATATTTCTAATAAATCGCAAGGATTTTCTCCGGTGCCCACACGACCTGTAGGACACTCGTGGGAACCCCATCAGCGGCCTGCCAACAGCCGCGCGCCTGCTGTCCTTTGAGCCCTTTCGTCCATTTCCGTTACACCCGCCATGAATCGCGACGACGATTCCGATCTGACCGACCTCGAGAGCTCAGAGGAAGAAGAAGAAGAATACACCAGCTCTCAACAGAAAAAGGCCAAGAAAAAGGCCACAACAACATATAATCTGAGGAACCCATTGAAGGTTCCGAGAGCTACGACGTATGCCGCTCAGGCGTTATTCGGTTTGTCGTTTTCTTTTGTATGGGCCGAGCAAGAAAGCTAAAAGTCGATGTATAGACCAGATGCACAATCAAGATATCGACCTCGATGCAGAGTATCAGCGAGGTATGTGTGTGGCTTCGTTCTGCGGATAACTTTCGTGCTGAAGGCGATTGCGCTGTAGACGTCGTCTGGCCCGACGCAAAGCAGATCAGTCTTATAGATTCGATTTTCAGGAACTTTTACGTTCCTCCGGTCATCTTTGCCACGAAACAGCACGATGATGGGTCAGAAACCAAGATTTGCATCGATGGCAAACAGCGGTTGACCTCTATTCGGAGGTTTATGGATGGCCAGGTGCGTGTCGCTGTATTTCATGTTTTACTTGTACTGACATGGTCAACAGATCCCTCGTAAGTCTTTATGATTCGGCTGAGTTGGAATACCACTCTGACGTTACGGGCGCGGTACGCGTCGACAGACAAAGATGCGTAAGTAATACACGTCCCGGTTCTAAAGGCAACCAATGCTGATGCACTACTTGCAGTCTTACAGCCGAAAGGTGGTGGTTCAAGGAAAGTCCTCCAGGCCAGAAGGCCCGTAAAGTCCTCCCAGAAAAGCTTCGCAAGACATTCGCGAACAAACAAATCGTCTGCGTCGAATACCAAGATATCTCCGAGGACGACGAGCGAGAAGTCTTCCAGGTACTTTCTCCTCTCTCCCCTCCCTCGCCTCTCCCTCACACCTACCTTCACAGAGAGTCCAACTCGGAATGGCGTTGACCCCCGCCGAGAAACTCCAAGTGACCAACACCCACCGGTCCACCTTTGTCCGCTCCCTCGTCAACAAACACATCAAAGACGGTGGTCTCTCCTCTGACCACCTCGAATGGGACACGAGCCGCGGAGGCGACTTCCGCTGTCTCGCCCAAGCCCTCTACCTCCTCGAACGCTGGGGCCCCACGCTCAAAACCATCGGAACCATCCTCCAACTCGACAAATGGCTCGCAGCAACGACGCCCCTCGACCCAGGCTTCAAAGCTGACATGGAGGATACGTTTGACATTTTCAGTGAACTCACGCAGAATGCAGCGTACAACAAGTGTTTCAAGAATCCTGGCAAGGTTTCACCCATCGAGTTTATTGGGATTAGCGTGTTGATTGGGACGTTAAGGAAGAAGTTGACGATGAAGCAGCTGGCGAGCGCGATTGCGGCGTTGAGGAGTGGGTTGAGAGAGGTTCATGTGGATGTGCGGATGAATACGAGGGTGTCGAGGACGGTTTTGGAGTTGATTAGGGGGATGAAGCCGAGTCAGTTTGCCCAGGATTCGGGACCGGTGGCGTCGAAACGCAAAACTGGGAGTGCGAAGCGCAAGAGGGTGGTGGAGAGTGACGATGAAGAAGATGAGGATGAGATGGAGGTGGATGAAGGGGAGGGGGAGGACTCGGAGGGAGAGGATGAGGCAGAGTACAGGGAGAGGCCATCGTCGTCACGCCGCCGAGGAGGAGGACGATACAAACAGGTTGCAGTCACTGCAAGGCGCAAGAAACCAGCTCCAGCACCGCTCAAAGTCAAAGAAGAACGTCAGGCGTCGCCTCTCATGCCTCCTCCACCTACTCTTCCCTCCGGTAACCGCCTAAACAACCTCCGGGCCACGATGGACAGCGCAGCGAGCAGTAGCAGCAGCAGTCCGTCGTCCGCCCGACCTCGTCTACCACCACCCCAGATCTCAACTGGCAACTCGAGGATGTCATCTCAGCCAACGACTCCACAGCTTCCTTCGCCGGGTCAGAATTTCACGTTTCCGACGGCTGTGGGTGCGATCATGAGCAATACGGGGATGCCGCATAGTATGCAGCAGGCGCAGTTACAGGGGAGGCAAGGGCCATCGAGGAGTGGGAGTGGGTATCAGGATTCGAGTGGGAGGAAGGGGAGTGGGGGTGGGTATCATCGATGATGATGGATGAGGGACGAGCGTCGAGGGATACCTTTAACGAGAGGTACTGTTGACTTGAGCTGGGAGATGCTCGAGTCAACGAGTAGCGAGACTGTCCATTGAGACGTGTAAATTGTACATTTTGTTCCGCGTAGCGTACTATTGATATCTTCGTCCAGTCATATTAGTCTGGATAGACGAATAATACCATTGTTTTCTTGGTGAATCAAGGGTGCTAGGGGCTGCATGGGCTGGGATGGTTTCCCAAGGATAGTGCCGTGGCGAATTGAGAAGCGTGGACTTAGCAAAGGTCAAGAGAAACTCGCCCATCTGAATCATCGGTTCGATGGCGTAGTTGGTTATCGCATCTGTCTAACACACAGAAGGTCCTCAGTTCGAGCCTGGGTCGAATCACTTTTCCACCTTTTTCTTGCATTCTCTTAGTACCAATTGTGGACGTAATCTATAGACGTATTTTATTTGACTAGGTGAACCAGTCGCTGAGGCGCTATAGTGTAGCGGGTATCACTCGAGATTTTGATACACAGTGGTATTTCTCGAAACGCAGGTTAGAGCCCTGGTAACGCCTCATGGCACATTTGAATCCGTCTTTTTATCCATTGAATTGCCTTGATTTGAGCATATGTAGGCCGCATGCAAGGCAGGAGCGGGGGCGATTATGTGCGCTTAGTGTCACTTCTACGTGGAGCCCCTACGCAATTGTGAGGATAAGGAAGGCTTTCCTCTTACTGTAACAAAGATACGGGCGTTACCTATGGGTTTGAATCCAATATTATGACTAAATCGATGTAAGGTACATGATTGTGGTAGGTAGACGAAAAGAACGATTCTATCGATAAGGATGCACCACACCCTCGACGTTGATTTCTCCTGATCAATCGCACCGAAACACCTCGGTCTCTGCGAGACTCCCCTTCGAGCGCGCTTGGAACGCTATTTTCCTCCATGTTAACCCTCTTTGTTCTGCAAGCAAACCAAACCTTGCACTCATTTGGATGCCTCGTCTTGCAGTGCCTATACAACGACTCGACATCCGTCCCCATCCTCTCTGTGAATGTCTTCCCACATACGGGACACTCTGTCCTTGGCCAATTTTCGTGAAAGCTATGATGGTCACCGTTTCCCGATAGATCTTCGTTCGACTGGAGCACCTCCGCATTTTCTCTGAGGCGTCCCATTGTGTGCCCAATGGCATTGCCATCTTGATGCGCTTAAGCTAGTGCTGGAAGGGCGGATGTGGGCCGGGTCGTTGGTAATGTGCGAGTTGAGGAGTGTGTTGGAGTTTGTGCCGCGTCTTCCTTTAGCGGTGCTAGACCGCCAGGAAAAGGGGCTTGGGTACGTGGATCCATTGAGGCAAACTAGATCACGAATAAGGAGTAGGCGAGCGCAGTAGAGACCCCAGAGAGCTCGGGGTATAATAAACTTATCACCATTCACATCTCATAAATAGATGTGCCCTTTCTAGCCTGCTTTGAATTATATGCCATTTGGATTGAGCGACCGGGCCGCTTTGTTCGATCACGATGTTCCCAAAAAGGAAACCTTCTGCCCCCACTTGAGTGCCTCCAGGTTGCAGTGATGTATTCTGTGCGTGCGTGGTGAGGATGAGTCCTACTGGGTTGTGCAGGAGCAAGTAAGCTGATGGGTCAGAGAATCGCCTCAGTCGAGGATGCAATGGGTAAGGTCAACATGCCATTTCCTATGCACCCACTGTTTTCTGCGTGCGTCTCGTTGAAGAGGCGTTGTCGGATGGGTTAGCCACGACTCGGAGCGCCATCAGGGGCGTATAAAATGATAGAGTCCCCGATCTTAGCCACTCTAGGCCGCTAGCGACGCATGACAGCAATTACCGGGTTAATATGAATGGTGCAATAGTTTAGAGGTGATGGATACTACATAGCTCCTAACACTGGAAATAAGCATACCACATAGCATAGAGTAAACCTACATCGGCATCCGAATCCGACTTGGAGCGGTCCACAGAGGCTTGGTTAGCTCTAGGGAAACAGTAAGACAGCAGTACTTTGCCTTTCCTTGCTCTTTTTCTTTTTCCCGTCACCTCTCGCCACATTGATGCGGTAAGTCAACAAGACGGTCCGCGGCTTGGAATCGAATTTGAGTGTCAAGTGTGTCTCGGTGGGTAGCCCCTCCAATCCATTCTGGTTCTCCTTCATTGTCCACGATGCTTCATCATTGCCGAGTACAACGCCTCCAGTCCTCTGCTGCGCTTTTCCGGCAAAGACTTGGCTGGATTCAAGGTGTTTTGTTTGACGAAGTTGGACACCGCCCCTTGCAACATCCAATCCAATCCCCACATCAATGCCTGCTGAGCCTGATTGAGCCTGATAGGACGATATCGCTGCAGCATCGACTGGACCAAGGAGTTCCTTTGGTGAGATTCCAGTGATACATTCTTGCTCGGGTAGTGAGGCAGTAAGGGTTATGGATGACACACGTTCACTCCCGTGCGTAATGCACTTAACGGCGATGCTGATGCTAGGGCAACTGGAGGACGATTCGAGAGGGTTTGACCGCACCTCAAACGCCACCACTGTTGAGCGACCGAAGTCCTCTTTCAAGAGGAGATGCGGGTTTCTAGAAATGGGTGCGTTGGTAACTTGAGCGGTACCAGTGCTCCATGGTGGTAGGTATAGCGGAGTGTCGATGGCCACAGGCTTTGACCGTAGAACGCCAAAACAACTCATCAGGTTGGCTAAGCCTCCGTGAGGCCTTTGGTTCTTCGGGTAGATAGATTCCGACCTGACTGGTGCAGGCCCAACATCAAGCCGAGGTGAACCGGACACACTCGCAACTTCTGCTGCCAGCGAATGCTGAAAAACCCTGAAGACTGTTGGTCGAAGGCTGCGACCAAGCACTCGGAGAACTCACTTGGTAAATTGAACACCATCAACTTTGCGTTTAAAGCCTATAACGCCTGTCCGTTCCTGACTGTCTGAACACCGTATCTGGGTTTGGGATATAACTTTATGCGCAATCAGCTCGGACCCTGGCTCTACCGCGAGACGTTCAGCTGCCTAGCAAGATTAATGAGACCTGTCTCCCGGACAACAGTGGTGCATACCTGAGGCGTGAGGATTTTCACAAAGGCTCCTGGACAGGTGTGGGAAAGGACCAATGCGCTTCCCGACTTGATGCCGAAATCTCGTAACGGCTTTGCGCTGCCTGTAAGAAGGTCGAGAGCCTCGCCCCGCCAATAAAGGCAGCTTTGCTCTGTGTCAAAGCGCTCCTTGGGTGTCAGTTGCAATTTTGAGAGGTCAGGCCGCTTACCTGGGTGAGTGTTGAATTCGAAAAGGATAAGAGTGTAGAGTTCGAGGAGGGTGTGCTTCTTCGACACCGTGAGCGACTTCTGCTCCTGAGGATATGCGACAGTTGCGAGGCGTCGGATGTGAATTGTAACTCTAGTTGCGAATCTAGTGTGCTTCTTATGCCTCCTCACTATAGCTTCCTGAATCTCGTTGCGGGAATCGGGTGAAATGGCTTGGATCCTTTGCATCGGCACCACGTCCGCAGGGGTCGAAAGATGGGCTGCGACGCCATTTGGAGCGCTTCCAGATGGTAGTTTCAAGGAATTAGAAACGTCCCGAGCCGCTTGACAGGGATTTTCAGCTTCGGCTTGCGGTTTATCTTCAAGCTCTAAGGACGACTTGATAGCAGGGTGACTTCCGGAGGGGCTTGTGTCAGGATCGGCAGAAGCCATTGATGTAGAGTTCTGTTGCGACGTAGAGGAAACGGAAGGCGTGAATGTGCTGCTGCCTGATGTTTGATTGACTGGCATGAGTAGCTGAGATACTTCAAGTTGGGGGGCTAGGGGAAGGTCGTCTTCGTCAGCCTCTGGTATCGTTTCATGTGGTGGAGAGATTGCAGTTTCTGAGCTGGTAGGTGAATTGGGGGTCTCTATGCTCGGTAGGACTGGTTGACTGTCGGTGGCTGTGGTTTCATTTGCCTCTGGAACGTTGCCACGTTCTTCAGAGCTGCCGCTGTGCAGTGGCAGTGGCAGGGTATTTTCGGGCGTGAAATCGAAGGTAGATGGGTCTTCCCCCTGAGGATAGGGAACGCGCAAATCGGGGTGTTCTGTTCCAGCAGGAGCGGGGGCAGGGGCGGGCGTAGTTTCAGAGTTACTGGTGGGCTCTATTCTCGGAGGGGCAAAGGAGCTGTCGTTCGTTGCAGCTTGAGCAACATTGCTGGGAGTATCAGACCTGTCGTTGAGCAGTGCAACGACCTCCACGTTCGGTGAGGCCAACGGGCTGTCGCTCATTGCAGCTTGACCCGTCTCTGGAACCTGGCTGGGAACGTCAGATCCGCCGTTTGGAGGTGCCGGTGTGCCTTCAGACACTGGCTGAAAGGCAGGTGCATTATTCGGCTGAAGGTGGGGGACAGGCGGGTCAGGACGCTCTGGTCCAGAAGGAACAGGAGGGGAGGCGGGCGGTGGTCCATACGGGCTGGAGGAATTCCCGTCTTTGCCTGCCTTGCGCTCATCGCCAGCCCGACGCCTCGACCTTGAGCCTCGAGAGGAGCTAGTTGCTCCAACACGTGGTGAGGTCGCTGCTCTGTCCGGTCGGGCTGGTGTACCTGGAGGATCTCGATTGATCTTTGGCTTTGGGGTAGGCTTTGTCCGGCTCGCAGGATATGGTGTCGAGACCCCGTTCGTCGCAGAACTGGGTTCAATGATGCCAGTCGATGGATTGGGATGAGAGTTTGAAGCGTCAGTCGGTTGATCATTACTAGCAGCTGTTTCCTGGGATACGCGCGTCCTGGCAGAAGCTAACTGTCATTAGAATGAACTGGACAAGCATAGATAGTCGATTTGAACTCACTGGGCTCCAAATTTGCACCGAGGGTAACTGGGGGATCCATATTGACTTGGTACAAAGCTAAAGTGTTCGTCTACCGTTCAATGAAGACCTAGAAAGCCTTTTAATACCAGTCCATGCCCAGCACACGAGGCGCCTGCTAGCTTCCTGCCTTTCCTCGCGAGGCAGAATGAGCTGATAAGAGACATAGAAGACACAGCTTCAGCCTCGGGAGGAAAACTTGATGCTTATACTGCGTTGGAAGCCCATTGGGTGGGGCGGCAAAGCCTTTGGTTTGGTTTGGGCGCTTATGCGAATTGACGTTGAAGGGACAAGGACTAGTGTCTTTGAGACTTCCACCACTTCTACGAGGAGAAGGGATTTTATATAGACCGGGGGAGCATAATATAATGCCCAAGATAGCAAAGTTCCTGTGTCATGGACGTCACGGTTGAACACAGGCAGGTGGGAGTGCACTTCCAAGAAGCCCATCAATGCCAGATTCAGATCAGCGTAACCTTCCCACCCCTGTCGATTGTTTCTCAGTGTTGTTCAAGCCCATGTGCATGAAGTAGTTGCTAGCCCTGCCAGTACAAGCGCAAGATAGGCAAGTTGTACCAAGTATCGCTCCCGGGTACACATTTTTGACCCTTTGTATCCTCAAAATATTATATGTCTTCATTCCTCTCTTTAAATCCTCTCGTCTGCATAGCAATCGCTGTGATCTAGTATGTCTCTCGATCAAGGTCTGGTCGAG